ACTTTTTAGGTGTTGTGTCCTTTCCTCCCCTCCAGGGAGGCACGCCAGAGAAAAGAGGGCATCGGAGTACCATAGCATTTATTAGGTTTCGTGCCCCTCCCAGCCCACCCGGGAGGCCCCGCCAGAGCGAAGAGGGCTTCGGAGTACCATATTATTTATCAGATGTCATGCACCTCCCAGTCATTCAGGGAGGCCCCGCCAGAGCGAGGAGAGTGTCGGAGTACCACACCATTATTCAGGCTTCGTGCCCCTCCCAGCCCTCCAGGGAGGCCCCACCAGAGCGAGCAGGGTATCGGAGCACCATACTATTTATCAGGTGTCGTGTCCCTCCCAGCCCTCCAGGGATGCCCAGCCAAAGCGAGGACGGCATCGGAGTACCATGCTATCTATCAGGCTCCGTGCCCCTCCACTAAGCCCGCGACTTCATGTAACCCTGATTTGGGGAACTCTGATCGCATCATTTCTGGTGTTGGAACATCGCGCTTTCCATGGCAAAAACATCGAAACCCCAGAAACCCTGGGCACCCTGAAAACAGGCACAGTGTTTCTGGACATGGGTGTCCGCTGTAACCGGGAAAGGGAGGAGGAGGAGGAGGAGGAGGAGGAGGAGGAGGAGGAGGAGGAGGAGGAGAAAGAGGGGGAATCATCGAGCTGAAATTGGCGATGCGTCGCCGAAAGACTGGCCCTCGACATGGCGGAACCCGCACGCTCTCTGGGCGAGGAGGTGGGCCACCGGGCCCACCCGTGCGGCGAGGAGGGGCCGACGATGGGGGGCCGCTGCGTGCGCTCCGGAGCTGGCCCTCCCCGAGCGATGCGTGCGGGGTTCCCCAAAGAGGGTGTGCACCGCCAGCTCCAGCATCCCCTCCCTCCCAGGGAAGAGGAGAGCAAGGCTCCCAACTTCGCGCTGCGCGCGGCGCGGGAGCGCGAAGTGCGAATCACTTCGCGCTCTCGCGCCGCCTCCCAGGGAAGAAGAGGAGGATGAGGAGGAATCGGAGCCGAAGCGCGAAGCGAGAAGCGCGAATAACGTCGCGCCCTCGAGGGCGCCCTTGGGAGAGGGAGACGAGGGCGGAGGAGGAAGAGAGGGAATGGAGGTGGTTGTCAGTGGGACCCGCAATAGACGCCCGAGGAAGCAAGCCAGGGCAGTCGCATCGACCGCCAGCCCAGACTCCGAAGCGACTCCATCCGTGGCGAGGAAGAGACCGCGGCGCACCTGCCCGCGGGGACGGGCCCGGCGGCGGCTGCAGGGGAGGGGGCGGCGGAGGGGAGCGGGAGGAGGAGGAGGTGGGAGAGCGGGCGAGGAACAGGAGAATGCACAAACGAACGAGCGACCACCGCTGCGGACATCGTCCGGGCCTGGCTAAGACCAGGTGGAAGCGGCCGTGGCCTCTTGCTGTTGGTTCGTCGACCGGTAGGACGTTGTAGCAGTGTCTGCTCGCATGAGGCCCACGAACTGCTAGATCACCACAAGACGAGACAATGCTGCTGCAACCTCCGTTCTGCCAGACCGACCTGACAGGCGAGGCAGAAAACAGAGGCAGAGACTGATGAGGGAGACAACGAACAGAAGGAGCGAGAAAGACCCCAAAGCCAATCAGAACCCGCTGCCCCCCCACCCCTCCCGAGAGGAGCACCTGCGCACGTATGACATCGCCCTCCCCATCTCGGGAGCGGCCAAGAGGGGGGCGACCAAGAGGGGGGGCGCAAATCATGGCCAGTGGTATGTGCGTGGCCCCAGGGGGGTGGGGCAGGAACGTAGTGCAATAAGAAGAGGCGCCATGAAATCTGGGGAGATATCATGGCCCACGCCATGATATCCCACCCCCGCTAGTCGTCACCCCCCTCTTGGCCGACACCGACCATTCTGGACCCCTGGATCCCCGGGCTATCTCCTGGGCTCAGCGCTTCATGCCCTCAGGTCGGGCGTGTCCTCCTACAGACGGATTCTGGATGAAAAATCAGAATAATCAGAATACATGCTCAAAAACGAACAGAAATCATCAACAAATCGTCCCCATACTATTTCTTAGCTATTTTTGAACCTTCCTCCTGTAGAAAGACAGGCCCAACTCAATCCTACCCAGGTCAGAGAGTAGGGAACCCACAAAAGACGTACGCGCCCAACCACGTACATGAACACGGTCCCCCAATCCGCGAGACCGGCTGCGTGATACGAACGTTCGCGCAACGCGTACTCTCGAAACCGACGTGGATTCATGTACGTACGTGCGTCTTTCTCTCGCTCTTCATGGTGAAGCCCCCGGAGGGGGCGACGGAAAAACACGCAGACAGCAACCACTCACACTTGCAAGTCAGCAGGAACACGCGAGCCGAAGCAGGCGCTGGCGCCGGTCGGGCTACGGGCGGGACGGCGCTGGAGGCGAAGTGGGGCATTGCGGAGAGAGCAGAGTAGAGTAGAGTAGAGGGGAGAGCAGCAATCACGCACACAGAGCACAACAAACCTTGGACCCCTTGTGCGTGCCCCTACCTCCCCCTGGGCGTCCTCTGGGGAGGAGCTGAAGCGACGACCTGGCGCTTGCCCCGCTTCTCCGCGTTGACGATGCCGTTCAGGCAGTCGCGCAGCACGCTGATCTTCACCATGGCTGCCAAAGGATGTGCTGCCGATGCTGCCAGGGGGAACGGAGCGCAACGACAGTGAAAACGTATGTTGAGGACGCGAGGTATTGGAGACCTGGAAATTGGCACCAACACCAACACAAGAGGTTGCCTCCACAGGGGGGAGATGATCCTCGATTTCGGTGTTGGTGGTAATATTTCGGCCACCTTAGAAGCCAGAATATTACCACCATCATCGAGATAAGGATCTTCTTCCCTCGATGGCAGCACACCGCCGGTATTGGTGTTGGTGCCAACCTCTAGGCCTGCGAAGGTAAGGACGCCAGACCCTTCGAGGCCGAAGTTGGGATTGTTTGGGCGGCGGGCGACCACAAGCCCAGTGGAAACGGCAAAGGACGGGCCGCAGAGGCAGGGACACAAGGGGGGTACCCTGGAAAAGGTGCGCGTCCTCCCCCATCCTCCTCCTCCTCCTCCTCCTCCTCCTCCTCCTCCTCCTCCTCCTCCTCCTCCTCTTCCTCCTCCTCCTCTTCCTCCTGCTCCTCCTCCTTGGGTACGAAAGGGTTGTCCAAGACCGAGTTGGGAGGCTTACCCGCGCTCGCCTCCTGGACGGCATCAACCCTTGCGCGTCCTTACCATGCGCGTTGACTGTGTTCACCTCACCGATCCTGGCCAGGCCCATCTGAGGCCCACGCTCGGCGTGCCTGTGCTGCCGAAGCCTCCCTGGCAGAGCCTGGAGAGCGCATACTCCGACCCCTTGGGCCCAAGATGGGCCTGGCCAGGATCCAAGGGCTCCCAACTTCGCGCTTCGCACTGCGCGAAGCGCGAAGCGCGAAGTGCGAATAACTTCGCGCTCTCGCGCCGCCTCCCAAGGGAAAAGAGGACGAAGAGGAATCGGAGCTGAACCGCGAAGCGCGAATAACTTCGCGCCCTCGAGGGCGCCCTTGATGTTCGGAGAGAGGTGGATGGCTACCGTCCCGTCCCCCGAGGAGGGGGGCGCCGGGGGCTCGCTGTGCTGCGCTTCCGCCCTTGCGCCCAGATGCCCGACGTGCGATGGCCTCTTTCTCCTCCTCGTCTTCCTCCTCCTCCTCCTCCTCCTCCTCCTCCTCCTCTTCCTGCTCCTCCTCTTTTTCCTCCTCCTCATCCTCATCCTCCCCCAGCTTCTCCTGCTTATCCTCCTCCTCCTCCTCCTCCTCCTCCTCCTCCTCCTCCTCCTCCTCAGCAGCAGCAGCAGTATCATCATCATCATCATCAGTCTAATCCTCGCCATCATCAACAACAACATCAATCACCAATCATCATCATCAGCATCATCAGCATCATCCTCATCACCATCATCAGCATCATAGTCGGCATACTGGCCCAAGGCGTGCACGCTGGCCCCGCCGCGCGCGCCCGCGCCCCCGACGCAGGCCGCGCGCCCGCACAGACCCGCCCGCCTGTTACCCCGGCAGCAGGTGGAGGCTGAGGAAGGGCAGCGATGGCCGGTCCCTCCGGAGCCCGCGCTGCCGCCGAGGCGGCCCGCGGCGCTCTCTTGGCGGCGCACGCTGCCAGCGGGCTCGCGGCGTGCCACTCCCGGTCGGGAGTGCGCATGCTGCGGGCCGCCGAGGGGCTGCTCCGGGCAGCGATCGTGGAGCTCGGCACGAAGGCAGCGCCCTCCCCGCCGGAGCCGGCGGCCGCGGCGCTCCCTCGGAGGCGCCACCGGCCGCGCGGCTGCGCGGGGCGCGGCGCCGGGCCCTCGCCTGCCGTGCCGGGCGCCCACGGCGACGACGCGGAGGAGCAGCAGGATGGAGGAGCTGGCGGCGCAACAGCGGCGACTACACGGGCTCGGCGGCTTCGGCGCCCGGCACGGCCTGGCCAGGCGTCGTCGGCGATGGTAGCGCCCGCTTCTCGGGGAGGTGCTCGTCCTGGTGGAGTTGGGGCGGCGGCGGAGGCTGGCGTGGGGGACCCCGAAGCTGGAGCTGCGGCTGGTGCAGCCGCGGCGGCCGCGCCGCCCGACGGCGACCCCATGGACGACTCCTGGGCCGACGGCCTGCAGCGGTCGACGGCGCAGGCTGCGGCGGCCCGTCGGCGGGCCGTGGGCGCTGACAACGTGGTGGTCTTGCGACGCTGTGGCCTCTTTGAGGGCACGGTGGGGCGGATCGACGCGGTCGACGGGGACACGGCCAGCGTTCGCATCCGCAAGGCGGACGCGGAGGAGGCGGGTCAACTCACGGGGGTGCGGCTCGACTTCATGGAGCTCGTCGCCGGCGGCGGGGGGGCTGTGTAGCGCCTGTCGCTCTCTGCGCTCGTCCAGCGGCCTGCGTTTGTGTCGAGGGCGAGCACTCGGCGGACCGGGGCTGAGGCTTCGGCGCGGCGGCCGCGGCCGCGGGGCGGCTCCTGTGCAGCGCACGGCACCCGCTGAGGGGGGACCATCATCAGCATCATCATCAACCACATCAGTCACCACTCAGCATCATCCATCACCATCATCAGCATCACCATCATTGTCGACAACATCATCAACCTCAGCATCATCAGCAGCATCAACATGAACATCAGCATCCCCATAATCAGCAACATCCTCATCATCAGCATCACCATCATCACCATCATCAACAACGCAACTTCTGTTCAAACCAAGTTGCAATTCGACGTACTCATGGGATGCAGGGGCATCCAACATCCCCCTCGGCCTTCACCTCCGCGCAGCTTGCAAGATCCTCCTTGGACCAGGCTGAAGAGGAGGACGCCGAAGACGAGGAAGAAGGAGCAGAAGGAGGTGCGCGGATGCTGAGGAATGTGAGAGGCAGGAAGAAACATGTACCGCCTCTCCCTGGAGCTCTTCTGGGGTGGGCTGACCAGGATTCCAAGGAAAATCCAGCCGTGGCGACAAGGGCTCTCCAGGACTGGCGAAAACCGAAGGTGGAGGGTCGGTATATCTTTCTCTCAGGAGCAAGGAGAGGGGGGAAAGGAAGGAAGGAGTGGCGAGGGGGGAAGGAGGATGGAAGGAGCCCCACCTCCTCCCCCATCCTCCTCCTCCTCCTCCTCCTCCTCCTCCTCCCCCTCCTCCTCCTCCTCCTTCTCCTCCTTCTTCTCCTCCTCCTTCCTCCTCTCCTCTCCCCTCTGTCGTCCTCCTCCTCCTCATCCTCCTTCCTACCTCTTCCTCCTTCCTCCTCCTCCTCCTCCTCCTCCTCCTCCTCCTCCTCCTCCTCCTCCTCCTCCTCCTGCTCCTCCTTGTCGCACCCCCAGGAGTGTCGGTAAGGCGAGCCGGGCGCTCCGCTTGAGATTGAGCCTGATGCTGAGATGACCACGCCCTCTTGGACGGAGGGCGGGCAGCTTTCAAAAGATGGCTCTCGCCCGAGCGCCGCGCACGATCGCCTTCTAAGATTTCGCAGCAGCGCCAAGCATGGAGGCTTGGTCGTTTTCAGGTGGCTCTCGCCCGAGCGCAGAGACCGTCCCAAACCCGCCCGAACCCGAATACCACGGGCAATGCCCCAACCCTCCGAGCCCAGGGCACATAGGCATTGCAATCGAGACATACAGTGCGTACAAGTTGGACTAACCTTCCGACGGAGCTTGTCCATCCCTCCCCCCTCCACCTCCTCGTCGCCCTCCTCATCCTCCTCCTCCTGCCTCCTGCCTCCTCCTCCTCCTCCTCGTCCTCCTCCTCCTCCTCCTCCTAGCCCTCCTACCCCTCCTCCTCCTTCTTCTCCTCCTCCTCCTCCTCCTCCTCCTCCTCCTCAACCCCCCCTCCACCCGTGCCGACAGCACGTGCCCAAACCCCCCCAGCGGATCCAAGGGGGGGGCGATGATTGCCCCATCCAGAGTAGACATTGTGATCGAGACCTACGGTGCGTACAAGCTGGAGTTCAAACCCATACAGGCTCTGAATGCATGTCCGCGGATTTGTACTTTTATCACCTCGACACACCTGCGGCCAGGAAAAAGCACGCTTGGAAGCGCGTCAGATGCCATGCCCAATTGAGGAGGAGAGGCGCAGGAGGAAGACCAACACGCAGATATGATCAACGGCTAAGTCGGCAACCGTCGGAATCAGCGATGAGGATGGAGTTCAAGAATGCAAGACCGTTGGAGCGCACACCCAAACTTGCCAAGGATGCCTGCGCCCAAACGTGCCAAGGATGGCCAGAACCGAGAGATGCCAGGTACCCTTGCGATGAGATCCAATCAAGAACGCCAGCTTTGACTGCACCAGCTACCCCACAGCTAGCAACGCCTGCTCGCTGCACGCACCTCGCACCCACAGGGCACCAGGGGTTGTCTGCAGACTGAGCGCAATCGGACCGTTCGCAGCACTCCACGGGTGCCTGCAAAACTGAGCACGCTGCTATTTGGGCCTCGCTGCATTGTGAGCGGCAAGATCGTTGCACGGTATTGCAGCCCGCGAGATCCATCCTCCAAGAAGGAGCCACAAGCATGACGCACCAAGGAGCTGGCCGGTTGCTCGAGATGCCCGTAGCGTCGTAGAAGTACACAGCATATCCTAAGGACGTGCAGGGGAGAAAAATTGGGAGGAGGAGCAAGGGGGAGGAGGAATGAGAGGGGAGGGGGGGAGAAGCAAGAGGAGGAGGGGAAGGAAAAAACATAGTTAACAAAGAGTGAACGGTGAATCCACTGCGAAGAAACCCGCATCCCTCCCCTCCGAACGACCCCAACACAGGACTTGGCATCCATCTTCCCTCCTCGTTACGCCATCCTCCCTGATCTTTCTTCCTCCTCCATTCCACTCTCTCCCATTCTCCTTTCATCGTCTCCTGCCTCCTCCAACATCATACGTAATTATGATCATCATCCCCCCTCTCCTCCTCCTCCTCCTCCTCCTCCTCCTCCTCCTCCTCCTCCTCCTCCTCCTCCTCCTCCTCCTCCTCCTCCTCCTCCTCCTCCTCCTCTCTCCTCCTCCTCCTCCTCCCCCTCCTCCTCCTCCTCCTCTTCCTCCTCCTCCTCCTCCTCCTCCTCCACCACCTCCTCGTCAGCAGCAACAGCAGCACCAGCATTCCTCCTACGTCGATCGACCTTTCTCCTGCCTCCATCCTCCTTCCTCCTTCATCCTGCCTCCCTCGCCCTCCTCTTCCTCCTCCTCCTCCTCCTCCGCCTCCTCCTCTTCCTCCTCCTCCTTCTCCGCGTCCTCCTCCTTCTCCTGCTCGTCGTCCTCCTCCTCCATCCTCCTCCTCCTCCTCCTCCTCCTCCTCCTCCTCCTCC